ACTTATGTGCCCAAAGATTCTCTTGTGAGGACTATTATAACTCTTCAGTACTCATCTACACACCAAGCTTTATTTGGAACTTTCTAAGGAAAGATGTTTGCCTCAAACATAGCACTTACTTACCCACTTATCTACTTACACGAACTTTAGCCTGGGTGTTATTGTGGCTTGATTATAAAATGGCACTCTCAGGCTCATGTTTTAAACATCTATGCCTGAGTTGGTAGCACTGTTTTTGGAGAATCTATAAACTTTCAGGGAACTGTGGCATCTCTAAAAGAATAAGTTCCCTTTGTGTATGTCCTTCAGTATATATTGTCCCTGGTCAGTTCCTGGATCACTTTCTCTGTTTCTTAATCTATTGTGATGTGATCAGCTGTTCTCCAACACAGTCTCCTGACACATGTTCTTAATCACATGGGGCCAAGCATTTATGAGCTTTCCCTTAGCCCATTTTTTTACTCAATCAAAACTATAGAAAAGTTATTGCATCCAATGTAGATATTCCAATACAAAATTATTTTGAATTACTCCCAAAATCAATACACCTAAATTTTTTTCTAGAAAACTTCTCAAGGACTCTGCAAATACTTCATGTCATTCCTCTCCCCATAAAAATTTCAGTGAGATTCAGTCTATAAATTTCTTTGTCTGAGTTTTAGATCTGCTTGTGATCTGCTTCCTATGTACATACATTGTTTTGTTGAAATCTTATTCAACCAAATATATACCTCTGTTCTCGAAATAAGCCCCCAATGTTTACACTTCTCTGCACCTGATAAAATTGTAGCAAGATTTATTACCCTCCTCTAATATTTCTTTGTAATCCAGTCTTTGGTTATGGTGAGGTTAACTGTACCTCTTACCACTTGAAGTTTCTATAGTTAACTCCTTATAGCTCTTATTTCACTTTTAATTGTAAATTTTTATCTGCTAACTGATTATAACTTTGATAAGGGTTGAGATTATAGTCTGCTAAACAATCTATCTCTCTACCCTGTTACACAACAAGTAACATCCATTACACATAGAAAGAGGGCTGGAGATACAGCTCGGTTGCTAGAGTGCTTGTCTAAAATATATGAATCCCTGTGTGTGATCTCCAGTGTCCACATAAACTGCATGTGGTCATACATGTCTGGCTTAAAAGGATTTGGGAATCAGAAGTTCAGAGTTATTTTGGCTTACACAGAAATTCAAGACTAGCTTTGGTTATGCAGGACTTGGTTTTCAGAGAAAATAAAACAAGAATACAAATTAAAAAATCCAGTGTTCCAACCATCAAAGATAACTTCCCAAGTTAACACAGCTATTTCAATGAATTATGCATCACTGAATTTAGAAGCCTTTTTCAAATATTTCCATTATACCAATTATCTTCTTTAGTTCATTCTAATTAGATAATAAAGTGTCTCAGTTTAAACATGTTTGTATTTTTATTATAATAAGCCATTTGGTGATAATGCTATTTTTATCACCATAGAATAGCATAAAAACTTATTAGAGGACCAAAATAGCATTTGTTCTGATTTTTAATTCCATTCTCCAAACAATTCTTAAATTAAGAACATAGGGTATGTTTTGTAGGTTTTCTTTAATGTCTACATGAGAATAACAGTTTCCCAGCCTCTGACTTTCTTCCCTGCCCTGTGATTCTGAAAAGCAGTTATTAGAGTAAATAACTGAGGAACTTGGCCCATTACACTTCAACTGATTTAACTCTGAAGAAACATAGCTATTTTAACAGTTGAAAATGGATACATTTTTTGTGAATAGTGAATTCCCTACTGGAAACCAAAGATTCTAGCTCTGATGAAGTATGTGCTACGATGTAGAAAATTATTTTGAGTGGTGTGGCAAAATTTCCTCAAAAAGTCAACTGATTTCAATCCACTCTGATTTTAAAATTGCCAAGGCCATGTCTACTTCATAAAAAGTAAATGAGGAAGAGAAGGAGCAGCACTGTTACAACTTTGTCAAAGCTGAAAATCATTACTGGAGGCAACAGAGGACAAACAGACCTGGATTTTCTACCAATCTCACCTGTGTAATTATGAACATTGATTTCACCAGACTTATGTGTAAAGAAAGTTGACAACAAGGTGATGTTTATCATTTCTGAGCCACAAGGATAGATGACTCAATAATATAGTGTATATTTTATAAGAAAAAGTAGAACTATCCTGAAATATTAAAGGGATTAAATGATGTAGGTGGTAAATAGAACTTCAGTACCTTATTTAATTTAGAGCCCTGAGGCTATATTTTGCAAATCTATCATGCAGTCTACAGATACCCTTTATTTAATTTATAACAGCTTAAATTATTTAATCAGGACTGTCTCCTCATGCAATCACTTTTAGATAGGTGTAATATTTTGAAGAATACAAAAGTTGCTTTTGAAGTGGGTGTGATAATGCACCCCTGTAATTCAAGGAGACTGTGACTAAAGGCAGGGAAATGATGAGGTCAGCCTGAGGTACATACTGAAATGCTGCCACAGAAAACAATAGCCAGAATATAGCTTAGAAGTAAAACCCTTTTTCTAGCATGCACAAAGTCTTCAGTTAATTCTCCAATAGCCAAAAATATAAATGTTACTTTTCACAAGAACTAATTTTAAAGAAGCAAATAAAAATATATTTAGGCTCCTAATATAACATCTAATCATAACTTACTTTATAAGTAGATTTTTCAATGTATGAAACAAAGTATAATCAAGCAAGTTATAAATATGGTAATGTAGATTGATTAAATGTGTGATTTCTGGAGCCATGCTACTTTTATTGAAATTCTAGTACTTAATATTGCCTGTATGACTTTCACCTATTAAATTGAGCTTCTTTATATAACATTACTTGTGAGTATAATGGGGTTGTTCTGGTACCTTTCTTATGAACTTGTTTTAAGTATTGACTTAGAAAATGCTATATAAGCTGCTTGAAATAGAAAACTCATAATATGTGTTATTATCTCATCATCATCAGTAACATCATCATTAAAGGAAAGCAAAAATGACAAGCTTAAAGAATTTAAAATTATTTTGTCTATATGGAACCAATATGGAAAAATAAGTTTAAAGTATAAAAATGATCTTCCTTTGTTTATAGAAATATTAGAAATAAAACAGAGAGTAAGGATTATCTAAGTCGTGTTTACACACAACCTCATGTCGTTTCCCACACAAGGAAACTGAACTTCCTAGAAGAGACAAGAGTTACCCAATATCACAAATTGTCCAGACCTATAACACGGTTCAAACCCAAGTAGCCCGACTCCAAGCCCAGGCACCTTTCTATTGTACCATGATAACAAAACACCTCATCTGTGCCTTACTTAATTATCAGGAGTTAATTATCAGACTGTGGTTCAAAAGCTGTGTGAATCAAAATATCACTGCCCATTGAATTTAATGATTTCAGTATAAAGGCTCTCTCTATATATTCGCATATACATATACATATGTGTGTGATTTATACAAAATTAAACACTTAGAAAGACTGCTAAAAAAAGAAACCTTATTACTGTGGTGACCTTTAAATTATGACATGCTCTTCATTGATTCATTCACAAACAATTTCTCACTTCTTATGAAACAGGAAATGACTGCAGGATCAATAAAAAGATAATTATAATCTAACAACATTTTATGCATGTGACTGTCATGATGAAACCGTTTACTTTGTATAATTAATATGCTATTAAAATATCTCACTAATTTTTTTTTAAAAAAGAATAGAAGCATTATGTTCATATAGAATAACTTCTCTTTTTTCCCCCATGATCTTTTTACCAGATCCATTAGCACATGGTTGTATTTGGAATCATTTTTTGAAGTGAAGAATATGTACCTTTTTTGCTGTACAGTCTGTAACCTTCTGCATTTACCTGAACAATTTTTAGCTTCTAGCAGGAAATGCAGGAACCTATTCAGAGGTGCCTGAAAATACTGAATCTGTGTTATTGAAGTTGACACAAAAGAAGGGCAAGATGAAAATGTAACAAGTTGAAGACAAAATGATAAAAAAGTGCAAAAGTGTCTAGAACAGTCTCCAGTTTGAGCAAGTGTTTTAAAAACACATGTTATACTTCCACTGTAGCTTGGCTTCTGATAAACTTGTCAGTGTTTACCTTGTATACCTGTGATAATTTTAATTATCCCTTTCTTAGTAAAACATTTCTGTTTGTGGGAAAATATCCTGGAGGCACGTCAATCCATTGTAAATTATAGGGAGGTGTGAGGAGCTTGAGTAATGCTATCAACTTTGCAATCTGGAGATGGGGATGGAGCTTAGTGGTAAGCACTTGGGTAACATGTGAGGTCTCAGGTTGGATCCCCAGTACCTGTACACAATAATGAGGCAATGCATATTAACTAACTTGGGGAGAAAGATAAACAATGGTATAGCATAGTCAAAAGGGTAATCATTTTTGTCTAATCACTATGAATACCACACCGCTTCACTTCTGTGAATGATTTTGAAGCAGTAGTGCTGAGTCCAGAATTAAAGCTGGTACCAGAACAGATTAAGAGGGATGGAGCCAACTTCAAAGAATCTAAAAGTAACACTCATGTTTTCAAAGGTAGTTTCCTCTATTAGTTTGATAATTTTTATTTGTTTTTGCCCAACAAGTTTTTTATCTTATTCACATAAGACATAAAATACCATTGTGGTATATATTTGTATGGTTGTCAAAGAAGAAAAAATAAAAGCTAACGATACAAGACTGGGCTGCTATAAAAGTGCTCTAGGATTTATTTTATTGTTAGGTTACTTTAAAAAGTTGGCCAATTAATTCAGCAAATGTACCCTTTGGAAAGATAGACACCATCAAAGAAAGCTATATGCAGTGCTCTTATTTGTGACTAATAAGATTATTGTAAAAATATAAAGGACATGTTATCCTTTAAATTGTATGAGCTAATAATCCCAGTGACAGGAGACTTGCAAAGCACAGTGCTCTGAAACAATTTCTGAATGTCTTGTTTCTCTCAACAGGAGCTCCATTCTCCAACTCTGAAAATCTCTACTTGCGCGCCAAGCACTCTACATATAACACAAAATGCCGAACAGGTAAACAAGGTTGTATGCTACATTAGATTTGTTTTTCTCCTTTTTGTGTAAGTCATGTTCATATGTGAGAACATTCTTTAGATCTTTATAGAACTACACATTCACAAAGGAAGAGAATTTTCTCATATGAAAATAAGTCCTGCTCAGGAAAAGAATGTGCAGCAAGTGCCATGAATTACATTTTTACTTCCATTACTCTCTCTCATTCAAACATTCAGTTTAAGCGTAGTTTAATTTTAGCTGAGAATCTTCTGGTGAGTGTGGCTATTTTAAGGGTTCTTGGTTTTAGTGCAAATAAAACATCTGCATTTTGGGTTGACTGAGGAACTGCCTTTGCAAGTGGTTATACTTAAAAATTTATATTTAGAGGTAGACCCTTACAGGACAAGAGATTATGCTCATTATGAGTGTATGATTTCAATAACAAACCGACTGTAATTATCTTTCACCTTTATGACCTAATAATACTAGTTATTGGATTAGGTTTTAATGTAAGTATTGTATATCTAAAGGAGATCTGTAATAAAAAAGATTTATTTAACTGATACATGCAAAAAAGTCTAAGAAATAAAGCATATTAAAGCTGTAGTCACACGGGACAGGAGCACACAATTGAGGGTGTAAACAAGAGAGAAGATGCTATTTGAAGTTTCTGGCCAACACATAGTATTTTGCTGTTGTTAAGCTCTGATTCCTAGTTTGGTTGAATAGTTTGAGGTTTATTAACCACTTTCTTTTCCCTCATATGTTTATTGAGAATTTTGCATATAATGTGTTTTGATCAAATCTGCTTTCTATTCCTCCTCCATTGATTCATATCCTTCCCTCACAACACCCTTTTCTCCAGCCTTCATGAGCTTTTATCAATTTTTCAGAGTTCTCTTGGTGCTTCCTGTATAGGTATGACTGTTGGAGCCTTTGTTAGAGAATGAGAGCTTCTCAGGGACACATCCCTGACAAAATCTTACTTCCCATCCCCTAGTAGCTATCAGTTTCCAGATGCTCCCTTAGGTAGGGGTGGGACTTCATGATCTCCCTCAACTGTGTTGGTATTTTGACTGGTTTGATCTTGGACAGGTCTTATACATGCAATCACAGTCACTGTGAATTCATGTATGCAATGGTTTTAGATCCAGCAAATAAGGTTTTGCTAGGGATAGTCTTGATTTCTGGCTCTTATAATCTTCCCAACTTCCCATGCTTTCGTTCATAATTTCTGAGCATTATTTTATTTAATTGTATATGTATTTGATTACTTCACTACTAATTTACAGATCTTGTTCTCATTAATGTAAAACAAGCCTCTTATATTAATAATACTGAGCTTTTCTATAAAACATTTCCAGTTTTTCTTTATTCTAGTGTTTTTTTTCTTTTTCTGTCTTTCTTTCTTCCCTTTTTATTGAACTTCTGAGACAAGTCTAGGTATGTACACCAGGCTAATCTGCAAAGCCAGATACCCTTGTTTCAGCCTCCTAAGTACTTTAATTACAGGCCTGCAGCAATACATACAGGGTTTCTGTCTCTTTTGTCTCTTTTAATATAATCTGTGGCTCTCTACTTCCAACACGATGAATATTTTAAGGGGTATGCTACAATGCCCAGATAAAGCCAAAATTTTAATTGACTAACATTAAGCAGTATTTTGTTCTAATTCTGCAGGGATGGATACAGCAAAACAAAATACTTTATAAAAAAAATCTCACCATGCATATTTTAAAATTTATAAAGAGGCACCTAGTCCCCAAGCTGCTGCTATTGCTTCTTGAGTTGCTATTGGTCATACTTGCATAGCACATTTCTTTGTGGTCTCCAATGTACTTTGTGTGGCCACATCAGCTAGCTTTAACTAGAGAATAACCTTAATTTGAAAAGTGACTCCGCATCTGAACTGGCTTTCACTCTCCACAAAGAAGTACCAGAGGACTATCTGACCATTGAGCAAGCACCATCAATCCTTCTCCAGAAAGCAAATCAGACAAGAGACCAGGTACTCTTAATTACAAAATGTTAGATCCAGATCTTTTCTCCTTGATCTATGAAACTTTTTAGATTTTCTCAAAACTGATATCAGTGGGTAAAATAAAAATACCCAAGTCATTGTAGAGGTTGCCCAAAGTCCTTTCTCTAAAGCATTTAAATATCCATAAATGAAGCATAAATTAGTCACTCTTATTCCCTAACTTGCTGTGGGAGTCTCTGCAAACACTACAGCGAGCAGAATCTCTCAGTGAGTGGAAAAGAAAGTCTGATTAAACGTGACTCAGTAGGCAGTGCTAGTTCAAACTTCCAAAATTTGACACTGGGCAGTTTATTTTTAGACGTATGTAAGTATAGCACAATTTGGAAAAATATTTTCTCATGATAATTAACCTAATCCCATGTATACAATAATGCTTAAGACATGATTGCATTGAACCTCTTGTAAAAATACAGGTGAAAGATAGGTTTATATATAGTAACTAAGGAAGCAGATTCAAGGTAAACAATGCTCATGATAAGGGCTCTGGGAGGAAAGCACTGTAGATTGACTGAGATAAACATAAATCTGGGGGAACTAGTGTTGCCTGGCCATACAGATAGTACAGATGTCATTAGGCTACTAAGCACATCTGTTCTCAGCATTCTGGCCAAAAACAAAACAAAACAAAATGAAAACAAGTTATGTACCTCCCTTTGAAATGACAACTAGGAGTGCTAAGCATTTCTGGTCCCCCTAGTGCTTGTCTGTAAGCACAAGGACCTACGTGCTTCTTACAGCTTGCGACCCTGATGGCAGAAGTCTTTGCCCTTGGTGAGGGAAAAGAGTGGGGACCAGGACTGTAAGTAGGAATGATAATCATTTACATACCATATATTAGTTACTTTCCTGTTGCTATGATAAAACACTATGACCACAATTGATTAGGGAAGTGTCTTAATTAACGTTACCATTACTGTGATAAGGAATCATAACTAAAATTAATTGGGGAGAAAACGGTTTGTTTTTGCTTTCAAATTGCTATTCATCATTGAAGGAAGTCAGCACAGGAACTCAAACAGCTGGGGCTGTTCTTAGTGGTCATCCCATGGTACTGGCATCTCCAAAATGCTAGGGTCTTTTGCTGCACCTGGGCTGCACTTCAACAATACCCTCCCATAGGCTCTCTTCATAGTGCCAAGCCTCAAATTCTGGGTCTTCAACTGCAACTGAGGATGCACCTTTACTAATGGCCTCTCACAATGCTAAAACTCAGGTGCTCTCGGTGACCTCCTCATGCTTTCAAAACTAGTACCACCTGGGTGACTCTTAGGCATTACCAAGCTCAGTTGCCAACCTAGGCCACCTCTAGAACACAGCTTCTGTGTTCTCTCAGGAACCACTTCCTAGAAGACTTCATCTCAGTGATGCTGATCTCTTCTTAATCCCCACTGATTCTTCATCACAGCTGACCAGCAACGGTTGTCGCAGCAAGGAAAAGGTTTTACTTTAGTAGTTCTGGTCTCTTGTTAGTCACAGCCAATTATTCAGCTCCAGCTGATAAGCCACCACAGATCCTTCATACAAATGACCTGATAGAGGCTTTATTTCCCTATGTCACGTCACAGACCAGGGCTTCATCATCTGTACTGCTATCAACATTGATGTCTTCCAGAAGAGCTCACTGAGCTCTCAACGTTCAATGACTTTTCCAGCTCAAAGTTCCAAAGTCTCTCCACAATCCTCCCAAAACAGCATGATCTTGTCTGTCACAGCAGTACCCCACTATCCTGATACCAACTTCTGTCTTAGAGTTGGGAATGCTGTGATAAAACACCATGACCAAAAACAACTTGGGGAGGACTGGATTTATTTATCTTATGCTTCCACATCACTGTTAATCACTGGAGGCAGTTAGCACAGGAACTCAGACAGGGCAGGATTGCGGAGTCAGGAATTAACGCAGAATCCATGGAAGAGTGTTGCTTACTGGCTTGTTCTCCATGGCTTGCTTAGCTTGCTTTCTCATAGAACCCAGGACCGCTTGCCCGGGGTCCACATACAATAAACTGGGTCCTTCCATACCAATTAACAAAGTTGTCTATAGGCTTTCCTGCAGCCTGATTTTATGGAAGCATTTTCTTGATTAAGGCTTCCATCTCTCTAATGACTCTAGCTTGTGTCAAGTTGACTAACACTAGGAAGCACAAGAAGAAAGACTTTATTGGGCTTATAGTTCCAGAAGATGAGTCCATAATGGTAAGTGAACCATACCAAGAGGTGGCGGGAGCAGAAATCTGAGAGATCATATCTTAACCATAAACATGTAACAGAAAATATTCTGGAAGTAGAGTGTGTCTATAAACCCACAAAGCCCATCCGCAATGAAGTACTTCCTCCAGAAAGATTCCTCCACCTAAATATTCCATGTTCTACTCAAACAGTACCACCAACTGGAACCAAATGTTCAGCTACCTGACTCCATAAGGGAAACTTATTCAAACCACCACTCCCCCAAGATGGGATCCAGAATCAGAACAACAGACTTTTGAAAGCAAAGAACAGCCAAATTATGATCCCAGAGACAGTAAGTGTGGCTGCAAGTTTCTGGTCTTTCCGTAATATCACCTACTGTAATGATAATCCAAAATACACCAAGTCTGGTGGCAATGCAGTCATTGAAACGAAATCTAGAACAATGGTGATCCAAACGGTCCATAAATAGGAACTAATTTCAAAGGAGCTGGAGCCCAAGTGTGTTAGACTTTGGAAGCTTCTAACCTTTCGGAAAGGGACACAGATGTGAGTCATGCATGTGCTTGAAAACAGTTAAATTCTTAGCAAAGTAAGTACACAAGGTGGTCAATGTGCCCCCAGTTGCTCCAGCTCCTTTCCATGCAGGTAGCCTGCAGCATGAATCTATTAGTGCCTTTGACAATATAAATCCTGAAAACTTCCTCTGAAGTGTGCTATGGCAGAGGTGGGGCAAAAAAAAAAAAAAGACAATGGAGATATTCAGCTCCATGGTCCAAGATTGCATCTGCTTTATGCTGTTCATAGAGAACATCCGAGCGGCTGCCTAGTGCTGCTTCTGTGGTGACAAATCACGCCCGCAGCAAGAATAGGTGGAAATTCCCAGTCTTCCCAGCATCGAGTTCTCCATTGAACCCTCCTACACAGTTCTGATGTGGATTATCTGCAATGTTAACTGAAGCATGTACAAGCAGGCCCAGCTTCTAACAATAGACAGAAACATATAGAATTATTTAGGTAATGAGTAAAACAAACAGTAAGGAAGTAATAAAGAGACTGAGAAGAGAAGGGGAGGTACCCTTTCTGATTTTTGGATGCAAACACACTGTGCTATTCTACTGATTGGCTCTGCTTATTTTTATATGCATGAGTATTTTTTATTGAGTACATTAAGGATATGTACCAGGCTATAGGGTGTGTCATATTGCACTATCCTTGTGATGTATGGTGATTGTCCATAGCCTTGAAAATATTACTAATAGCCAGATGGGCAGGTGGATTGGGCCAACAGAAAAAGAAATAATAAAAATCAGAGAGCCTGGAAGTCATACTGCATTTGATTCATACTCAGAACCCATGTCTTCCAGAAAAAAAAGAAGTTGACATCATGTAAATTATGAGTAATTTTTCTGTACAACTTATTTAATATGAATTGAATTTAAGCTTAACTTTTTATCTAAACATGTCATTGCAACACAGTTCTCTCTTAGAAAGTTTAGAAAGAAAACAGATTAATAAAATGTAGGAAAAGGGAATTTTGCAATGAATTTCTTAAAAATAAATACCCCAGTGGAGACACCTACTTTAAACCAGTTGTTATTTAGATTCAAGTCACTTTACTAATTTTAAATTTTCCAAATTCTCTTGCCTCAGACTAGGTAGGAGGAAGTGAGATGAGTGAGAAGATTTAGGGCAATTTTGAGGCCCTTATTTTAAATAGACTTTAAAATAGAACAGGAAACATAATGCTACAATTCTATTCAATGACTATGAACACTATTATTTCTTTTTTATTATTATTTTTATTGAGCTCTACATTTTTCTCTGCTCCCCTTCTTCCGTCTCCCCTCCCTTCCATCCTCTCCCAATGTCCCCATGATCCCAGTTTACTCAGATCTTGTCTCTTGCAACTTTCCATGTAGATTAGATCTATGTATGTCTCTCTTAGGGTCCTCATTGTTGTCTAGGTTCTCTTGGATTGTGATTTGTGGGCTGGTGTTCTTTGCTTTATGCTTAAAAACCACTTATGAGTCAGTACATGTGATAATTGTCTTTCTGGGTCTGGGTTACCTTACTCAAAATGATGTTTTCTAGCTCCATCCATTTGCCTGAAAAATTTAAGATGTCATTATTTTTTCCTGCTGTGTAGTACTCCGTGTAAAATGTACCACATTTTCATTATCCATTCTTTGGACAAAGGACATTTAGGTTGTTTCCAGGTTCTGGTTATGACAAACAATGCTGCTATGAACACAGTTGAGTGCATGTCCTTGTAGCACAATTGAGCATCCTTTGAGTATATATCCAAAAGTGGTATTGGGTCTTGATGAAGGTTGTTTCCTAATTTTCTGAGAAACTGCCGATTCTGTTTGTGTCTTAGATGGTTCAGAAGACTGTAGAAAACTTAGACATAAAAACAAGGAGCAGAACTTTTCCAAAATGGGAAGAGAAGCACAATAAAAGGGAAAATAGTGTACCCTATTTAATATGTTCTATCACCATTTATGCAATTTCACTCTACTCCAATATATCTCCAGTATGTATATATAAAAATGAATTAGGAACTGGAGTCTTGGAAATATTCACTTTCAATATTTTATGAAAGAATAGTACCTCTATTATTTTTGTAAAGTATTTATTGTCATTAGGTATTGAATCTTAAGAGGTAGGGTAGAATGTAAGGATAAATAACTGTTAGTTTTCATAGAACTTTTTACCTTGCAAACTCTAGCAGAGAAGAATATATAAAAAACATAATAAAATATGAAAAAGTATGGTAAAAATAGAAATTAGTATAATCAACTACTTACAACAGCACTGAGCAAATGCTGCTTTGTAAAAGTATTTCCAACACTAAAGTTAAATAAATCATAAAGTCACAAAACATTATTAATGAAAATGACTATATAATGTTCACCATGAAAATTGTTCCTTATTATTAATTACCCATAATGATAGTTATATGTATTTGTCTGGATTTCATTTTTCTTTACAGGAACTTCATTCTCCAACAGTGAAAGTTACTACGTATCCACAAACTACCATTAGGAGATACATAGTACAAAAACCTGAACAGGTAAGGTGTCATGTGATCTCTTTTTCCAGTGGGTGAGTCAGTTACTAGATCCTTAAACGCAGATTGCTGGCCTATCTTCCAGTTAAAAAGTGCACTTCTAATCATTAATATAAAACTCCATTTTTAGTTTCAGGGTGCCATGCACCGTTCTGTTCTGATATAGCAATGAAAAAGTTCCAAACAGCTTGGCTGTTATAATACTTTCTTTTCTATAGCCCCACCCTGGCAGTGCAAGGGACTTTGGTGCACTTTGAACCATAGAGAAAAGGAACAAAGGTCTTCACAGGCTTCCCATAAAATCTACCAACCACAACACTGGGAGCTGGAAGGTTTAGTGTATTTGCATTTGACTTTCACCTGTGGACTAGGAAGAAGATTAAAAGTCAAAAGCTCAAAAAATGTTTTCATGTGCTTGTAGCCTCTGATGTGTGAATTATGTACTTAGTAATGAGATATTTAGAAATTTACATTATTATATTTTTAACTAAGATATATAATCGTATGTTTTACAAAGTACATAGTTTCCTCTGTCTAATTTGAGAAGAAAATTAAGACAGCATTTTTCCATGATAATAAACCTTCCTTGAGTACACACACACACACACACACACACACAAACACACACACACATATACATGCACACATTCATCTTCTAGTGGCAACGGAACATTTTGGCCTCTTAAGGCTTCAACCTCCCTATAGGAAACACTGGGGTATGAATAGAGACAAGACATTTTTCCCTTTACTCTTCATTTCTCCATTAGAAAGAGAAGAAATCTTTCCTAATCTAGATGGTGTAGAGGATGTACTTCTGCTACTATTCCACCTCTTTTTTTTAAATTTACTTATTAAAATCATGTTCTTGAGTCTCCTTAATTAAGGAATCTGCTAGTTGTGCATGTGTGTTTGTGTGAATTTGCGAACACACAGGATCTGAATAAGGTGATGATTACTTTGGATATTTGCTTGAGTTTTCATAAATTTGTGTAAACATAGAAGAAGGACGTGATTATAATTAAAGCAGTTGCCTGCTCCTTCCTTTGCATAATAAAATAGTTAAGCAACAAGTCTGGAAACAGGGGCAAGGTGGCTGGACTAGGTGCAGTAAGGAGACCCTCAGTGGGGTCTCCCTAACCTTCGTCCCTCTACTGCTCACTTCCCAGTCCTGCGATTGGAGTAGAGTGCATACTAGGTGACTATACCCTAATATATTGGCTTCTTAAAAAGACAGAATTTCTAGTATGTTCTGTACTTATACACATCTAATCTGCTTTTTTAGCCAAATGTTTCATGTTCTTCTACTTACGTAGGTATTTATTCTTGTATATGGTAATATGATGTATATGTATGTTTATGTTTACCTATGTATGTAAGTACATGTGGAGATCAGAAGTTAGCATCATGTGTCCTCTTCAATCACGGTGTGCCTTTCTTTTCTTGCTGAACCTGGAACTCATAGGTAAGGCTAGCCTGCCTGGTCAGTAAGCTCCAGGTATCTACTTGTTTTTCCTTCCCCAAGGCTAAGTTGTTAGATATGATACCATGAACAGACTTTTCTGAATGCCAAGTATCCAAACTCTGGTTTTCATGCTTACACAACAAGCACTTTATCAACCAAGTCATCTCCCAAGCCTGAAGCGCATATTCTTTAAAATGTATTTTTCTTATTCTTGAGGAATAAGTTCTTAAGTGCTACAGGAACATTGAGTTACAAAGTGATGAAGTTGGAAATGGACTTGAATAATGCATAAGAAAAATAACAGTGAAGAACAACTCATAATAGACCTTAAATGATTATCCAATAAATTATGTAATTACATATTTACTTTTACACCATGTTGTTTAAAAAGCAGCAAAATTTGACATGTGTGTATAAGTAAGGGCATATTAAGAACATTGGGCTTGTTCCTTTAAGAACTCGTTATCTCAGACCATGCTGAACTGCAAACATTTCCTCAGGAAAATTTAACAGAACAGTGGAGAAAATTGGTCCTTTTAAAGATTTTGAACTCTGCCTTTTATTGAGCAATAAAACAAAATTCAAGCCACTTTCTTTGTAAACTAAAATAACGCGAATTGGTTTTGCAAAATAGCTTTAACACTCTGTCCGTGTGTGTGTGTGTGTGTGTGTGTGTGTGTGTGTGTGTGTGTATTCCTATTTTCTTTTTTAGGTATATTTCTTTTGTATTTTTCACTTTTAAATCTCTCCAGGAGAAGATTTAGTTTAATTTCAATGTTGATAATAAATTGAGGCTCTTAAATGGTAACCTCATCCTCTTTCACCTCCTAGTTTTTCCAAATTTTATTCCTTGTTTTTGGAATTAAAATAATCCCAAACAACGTGTCTAGTTATGATTCTTTCTGTCTCTTTTCAGACCTTTTATTTGTGGTTGCTTCTGATTTTCCTTATCCTCAATTTGTCATTATAATCATAGGATTTATATATACTGACTTACATTTTATCTAAAAATGAAGAAAACGCATTCATTTCATTAGTGGGTGAAATCTAATGATATTTATCAGTTTTTTGAAGTTTCTCATTGTGATAATCCTGATATGGAGAAGATATGTTATAGCAGTGGTCCTCAACCTTCCTAATGTGGTGACCTTTAACACAGTTCTGTACTGCTGTGTGTGTCTGCATGTGGGTGGACCCACATGGACATGAAAGAGAAGGAGTCTCAGTTCCTAAGACCACCAGAAATATGTGTTTTTCTGATAATACGAGGTGTCCCTGTAGCAGTCATGACCCACAGGTTGAGAACTACTGTTCTATAGCCTTCAACTAGGAATAAGGAAATAAGGCATTTTTTTTTAAAAAGTGCTTACATTTTCTTTTAGTGTAGGAAGTAAGGCATGTCCACAAATGACTGTGTAAAATCCTTTGGAAAATGCATGGTGTGAGTGATAGATACCAGTAGAGAAATGCAAATTATCTTAGTTACTTTTCTGATGACATGACAAGATACCATGCGGATCTAGGCAACCTATAAAATAAAGCCTCTGATTTGAGGCTTGCTTACAGTGTTAGATGGTGAGTTCATAACCATCATGGCAGGGATCATGGCAACAGCAGGCAGGCAGAGTTTTGGAGCAGTAGCTGAGAGCCTACTACTGGGCGGGTTCTTGCACTGAGGGTCACTACCATTATTACATTTCTCCATATCTTTTATCACAGACTAAAGCTTCAATGTTAATATCCTAGTGTTCCTTTTTTCCTCGAACTGTACATTTTGTATTTTTTTTGCCCTGCTTGCTTTTTTTTTCATTGTAGATCAGCATAGTAGTGATCACTCATAGCCACATGACACAGGCAATATTTGGCAATACCTGAAATCTTCACTCCCAGCAAAACTAGTCTGACACTCTTCAGTTTTCCTTCCAGCAGGCAGATTCTTAGCATAAGGACAAAAGGCAACTACATTCTTTGTGAAAATATTCTAAGAATTGTTGTTAGCCTCGTTGTTAATACCGTTTACCTCTGAAACCAGAGGATATGGGCAAAATACGAAACAGTATGGTTAGACATGTCACAGCAATAGCCCACACACTGGTACTGACTCTTGTCTTAGTTCCCTTTCTATTGCCGTGATAAAACACTATGACCAAGGCAACATTGAAAGAAAGACTTTAATTTGGTGGTTTATGATTCCAAAGGGTGAGTCCATAGCCATAGTGCCAGGAAGTATGACAACAGGCAGACAGCTATAGCACAGGAGGAGTAGGTGAGAACATACAACTCATCCACAAGCACTAGGCAAGAGAGGGAAAGGGAGAAAGAGAGAGAGCGAGAGAGAGCGAGAGAGAGCGAGAGAGAGAGAGAGAGAATGGTAAGGAGTGGTGTGGGTTTCTGAAACCTTCAAGCCCTTCCCCAGTGACACACTTCCTCTAACAAGGTCACATGTCCAATCCTTCTCAAAGAGTTCCACTAGCTGGAGACCAAGTATTAAAACAGATGGGTCTATGGGAGCTATGCTCATTCAAACCACTACATTGCAGTTTGACTTCAGATAACACATTTGGTATTTGTGGAAAATTAAATAAATATTTGTTTTGACATGTAATATATTGATACAATTTACAAAATATTAGAATCATTATATATAAGGAAACAAATTAAATATATGTACTTTGTCCAGGTCTTCACAAATTCTTCTCCTTTCTGACAGCTAATCTGTGTTACGGGGGCTGACAGAAGAAAAATTAAATGTGAGCCTAAAGGCCTGATAGGTGGGGATATTGGGTTATGGTGGCCAATAGAAAAGATTAAGAAGAGATGAGGAGAATTTGGTTTATTAAAGGGGAATACCATAAGATCTGCTTGAGCCAGTGGGATGTGAGGTGCTTAATAGAGAGGGTACCTAGTGAATATTCAAAATGACACAGCTAAATGTCACATTGGAGATACAAATAAGAGGGTTGGTATCTAAAGTTTACTGGCAATAACAAAGGCATGGGTGTGATTGCTGTGGGGTAGAGAGGCCAGAACTGGAGAAATATCCACTTCAAGGGAACAGAAAGAAGAACTCACTGTCACAGCAAATGTCTTCTCAGAGAAGGTTGTTAAAACAGTAACAAGTAAATAGAACAAATTGAGTAACCATGTCAAGTAAACATAAAGCTAAAGACAATAAATATGGGGATGAACTTTGACAGTTAAGAAAGTGACAGTGATATTTAAAACAGCAGTTTCAATATGCTCATTGGAGCAAGATCCAGATTCAGGAAGCTAATGGATATACTTCTCAAAGGGAAGTGGAGGAAGTTAAGTATGGGGATGCCTTTCTGAAAAGGATATTGGTCAAAGGCAAAAGAAAAGGTATCACTAGAAGAGAAAGCTAAATCTTGGAAACCCTGGAAGATTTGTAGATAGAATGAATCAGTAAGGTGAGTGAAGAGTGATGCAACAGAGTAAAAAGGCAAATGCGGAGAGATTCTGAAGGAGAAAAGAGGGATACAATTCAGATGCACATCGAGACACAACTTTAGGGAAACAAAGGAATGAATTACTCTTTGATGAGCTGGAAAGGACAGAAAGTAAAGGGCAGTTTTTTGAAGTGTAAAGAAACATGGTGGGATGACATTAACTACATTAATTTGATTTCTTCTAGAAGGAAAGGGCTAAGGGAACATGAGGACAGGGTTATGGAAAGATAAAAGGCTTTCAAACCACAGTTATGCTACTTGATTAATCCAAGTGTGATCATAAAGCTTGGAAGCAATGCGTAAAACTGAATAACTTGAACTTGTAATGAACCAATTTTTATTTTCGTTTTAAGAAATGTTTCTCTATTATAGCCTTGTGGCCTGGGAACAGTGTGATAGATGTTGGGAATTACATACTTTGTTAAATGTGAGAACTACTGCTGGAGGTTTTGAAAGTAACAATTAAAGTTATAACATCAACCATTTTGAAAACACCTGCTAATTTTTAGGGTGGATTTGGCACCAAATCAAATGTAGATACCAAAGCAAAGAAGATACCAAAGCATTAAAACTGTTGAGCTCCTCGGCTGTTAAGAACTCCACAATTTCCAATTTAAGGTTTTTAGCTGATTTGCTTTTCTAGAGTAATTATCCATATAAATATTTTTTTTACAATCTTATAAATTTGGATAATTTATAATCTAAATTTGGGTGCATTTTTTATTGTCATTTCAACAGGAAAATCAAAATATACTCTAAAGAGCATCAGTAGTTTATAAATCTTAGCTTTTTTCTTCATGAAAATCACTAATAAAGATTTAAAATAAGCTACATTTCATAGAGAAGATAATCTTACATTTGTTTTCCTCTTTATGAAAATTTTAAATCAACAATGTAAGAGTTACTACGCTTCTCATTCAGTCATCTGTTTATCTACTATCAAAAATGCAGAGTCAATACTTTCTTTAGCTTTAAAACAGTCTATTTTGTATAATTCAAATTATTGTCCTAGAAATTTATAACAAAATTTTCAAAAACATTTTTAATATATTAAAATATGAAACTGTATATTAAAAACCAATGTACAAAAAAGTTAAGATTGATAGTACCTTAAAATATATTGTATCACTTGATCTAGAATACCCCATATATTTTATCCTTGTGATAAGCACACTAAACTTCAGAGAAAGTTAATGCCTTTCTTACCTAGGTATCCACTGCATACAGATGATGAAGAAAGAGCTGTTAACTCTTATTTCATGACACTATACCTTTTCTTTCCAGTAAACCTGCTTCCACTGATTTTTAAAGTCAGAGTCAATGGATTCACAACAGCTATAATCTAATCTGCTTTGCGATTCTCATCTGTTGATACCTCTGGAGCATTTTTGTGTTCAGTTATTTTTTGATCTTCCCTTATTTTTTGAGCAATTGTGTGATTATAAGCATCACTTCTAATTTGTTCATTGAGAAATCTGGATCTGGGGACTTGAGCTGCAGAATTTTTTTCCTTCTTAACAATCAGTCTTTTAGCCCAGTTAGTCTAAGACCTAAGAGTAATTGCTGTGTTTTCCAAACAACAATCTCTGCTGTATATTAGCAATTTCATCTACTATAAGTACATTCAAAACAAATGAACACAGTTTTGTTTTTTGATGAATCAATGAATAAAACAACCTCACAACTCAAATTAAACTCAAAAGAAGGGAGAAACTGGATGTGGTGGCACTCACCTTTAGTTCCCTTGTACTTGGAGGCAGAGGTAAGCAGAAATTTGAGTTTTAGGCCAGCAAGATCTGCATAGAGAGTACCATGGCAGCCAGGGCTGTAGAGAGATCCTTTCTCAAAAGTAAAGAGAAGAAAAAAGAATGTGATGCAAATTACATTTATTTTGGACTCCTCGTCTGATTCTTTATTAGTCTTTCGATCTAAAATATATCACAGGCCTTTATTTCATTGAGTAACATCTTTTAAGCACTTGGCTAATACTATAGCAATTTAGTTGATTATACAGGTACAGTGACTCTTAAAGCTTCTGCTCTCAGTTCTCAAAACATATGTTGTACTGAGAATTGTAGCCTTGATTATCATCAGAAATAGGAATTGTACACTTCTATGACATGTGAGTTGCATCCTAAGAAAATACTTTAATGCAGTTCTACCTACTTTATGGTTTAGTAAAATTGATCTATATTAATTCTAAATTTCTCTAGTAATTCCTTTGTGTAGGAAGAAACCTGCCTATGACCCTAGTTTAAATGATATCGACCTCATGCTAGACTAATTTAGAAGAAACTTTTATTGTGTCCTGCCTTAGAGTCAATGGATTCACAGAAGCTCAGACCCAATCTGCTTTGTACTTTTTACTCATTTCTCATTCAGAGAAACAAATGTTATTCTTCCTACATCCTTCAAATCTCCCACAGAGAACTAGAAAAAATAAGGAAATCAAAATGTTCTCATTGATAATGGACTGTTTTCTAAAATGATTTTTTTTCTCCTGGAAGAAATATATTGATGAATCATTCCATTACTTTCCTAAAATCTGCTACTTCAGAGCCTATAGATACTAGGTATTTGTTGGAGTTCCTATGAAAACTACACTTTTCAAATCAAAACATGTTATTTAATCTCTTATTAGGAACCATTGTCTCCTTTCCTAAGAGGTGGCCACTTCTTCCCAGGAAACAATGTAATTTATGAAAAAACAATTAGAAAAGTGGAAAATCTAAATACAGATCAGGTAAGTAATAATTGTTTTAGAACTTGCTCTACAAGTATAAGTTTTGAATTATGAATATTATAATAGAACTGAAATAATACTAAATTATCAAATACCAAGCAATACCACTGTGAGTTATCCTGTGTCATCATGTCTACAATTCTTCATGCTATCCTTAATATTTTTATAATTATTTTATTGTGAAGCACATTTTACTGAAAGGGAACCTGAAGTCACATAAAAAGCTAATCTTAGAAACTGAGCTTAATAAGTATTATGTGTTTTATTTTAAACTAGATTACAAAAAAGAATTTTAAAGGCTACAATATTATATTCATTATTTTGGTATGTTCATATTTAAATGAACAGTATATAATAATAGATAAGTAAAATTTCTGAAAGATACAGAAAACTGAAAGTTTAAGTAAACATTTTAGTTCGGCACTTTGAAAAAAATAATTGTATTGTCTCAAATTCTATAAAGCAGAAATCAAAAATTACTGTATAGGATAAGACCACCATCCTCCTGGAACTCTGAGGGAAGGAACCCTTTTTGTTAGTTTAGCTTGCGGCAGCTGCAGGCATTCTTTTGATTGCATAATAGCACCCCAACCCCCCTGTTATCACATGGTGCCCTACATGTGCATCTCCACATTAGTGTCCCATTCTGCCTGGCTGGCTGTCAAATTTCCCAATTTTATGAAGACATTGGTCATATTGAATTAAACCCCACTCTAGTAATTGCGTATTGCTGGGACTTAGAACATCACCATAAATTTGGAGTATGGGTAACAACTCAGTATATAATAGGCAATTAAATATTATAAAATCAGTGTGGATAACAAAATCACTTTTTCATTTATAAGTAAAACACACTGAAAATGTATTGGGTTTTGTTTTTAAACTTCTTGGCATGAGAACACACTCTATTTTTATAAACACTTATTGGCAGTTCTTAGTAGACTTGTAAGAAATAACATGCTATTCCTTATTTTATGTCCAGTAAAAATGAAATGACATAAAATTTCAGAATGATAATCATCAAAATGTCTACTTTTTGATTTACTTGTTAAACTGAATAGTGTCTAACAAAGCATTCCAGAAATAAGAGACCAAAATTATGATATTGAGTAAAAAAAATCACTGAGTGTTTCTGATCTTCCAAATGATGTTTTTCTAAACCTAGCAACATACATTTATATTTATTCAAATTGTCCGTCAAAAATGATGCTTCACACGTTTTAAGAAGTAAGAAATGTTTGGGGTACATCATTTAGTGCTGCTTTCAGGTTATCGTTTTAATGAGAATGAATTGTTTTTCTGTTGTATATCCTCTAGAATACAATGTTGACTGTTCTGTACACTGTCATTCCGCTCATGCAGGTGAAACAATTAAGATATTTTAAGAACACTGCTTTTGCTTATTGTTGATATCAATGCTTGACTGTTCTTACCTTTTATCACTAATAATTTCAATGATTTGCAAGTTGTAGAACTGCTACTTAAGCTGTCCAAATTAAAATTACCTGTGCAAGTATAAGTTTTGTTCTGTTGTTTCCTCAGTGATAGGGACTATACCATGACATGCTGAACAAAGCTTAGGTCCAAACAAAACCATTTATTGGCACTTGTAACTGAATCAAATACAACCAGTTACTGAAATTAGACCTATCCAATAAAAAGGAGGCTTTTGTAGTAAAAAGTTGGTCAAATAGTACCACTTACAAGATCCTTTCAAAATATTTGTATTTTATGTTATTCTTTTTCCCCTCTATCTAAAGAAATCACCTTTGACAGTTAACAATAATTTGATATTTTGTGCTTTTAAGTTTAGATTATGATATATTTCAAAATATGATGTCTATATGAATATTTTTCTTTAAAGTGATAACTTTGATAGTTGACTCTAAGAACTGGTGCTGTAAAGCACGTGAGCCTATGAAACTCTGGCTTCTATCTTAACGCCAGGACTGATAACAATAAACACATTTTTAAGGTGACATTTTATAGCATAAAAGAACAGATAATATATTTATCTGTCAAATTTTTAAGCAAAGTTTATTAAAGCATATGGTTAGTTTTCTAAACTGTAAACATCTCAGTGCTATTGTACTTATAAAATGAGTCATATTTAAGTCTAGAGAAAGGAAAGCCAAGAACTGACTTTATGACTTTTAGTAATTGTTTTTATTGAGCTGTATATTTTCCTCCATTCTCCTCCCTTCCTTCCTATTTTATAACTACCAAGGCAGTTTCCATTCATAATATATGCCTCCTCATATATTTTTCTTCATTTCAAGATAATTTATGCAGCTAAAAAGCAATTCACATGGAGTAAAAAGTTTCAGAGTATAAAAAGAATATTAAAAAGGATGCAAATAATGGTACTTGACTTCTCTATCTGGGCCTTCATGTTTCTAGTTTTTACTTTTTTAGATAACCTCTCTTAGAAGTTTATTACTCTATTCATACAAAAGCTATATATATATATATATATATATATATATATATTTATAAAATCACATGTATGTATATGTGTGTGTGTGTGTGTGTGTGTGTAAAGTCTTACATTGTATAGATTAAAAGCACCAATTGGTGGTTTTCATTGTTGAAACATAAAAAGCCTCTTCTCCATTTTAATAAGCATGAGATCATTGCCTCCCCAACATGGATAAAAGCATGATTCCTGACACTGAAAATCACTCTATTGTATTATTTCCTAATTTTAAATTCTTTTGCATGTCCAACATCATAGATGTATTATGTAATTAGAAGCTACAGTGCCTGTTGAATTATCAAAGAAAGATTAATTATTATTCATAATAGTTTTAGGATTAAGTAAAACTTAAATATTAATTTAATTAGACATGTAGTTCTATAGCATATCTAGGTAAGTAGTTTGGTGGTCATAGCTACTGATTAAATAAAAGCAAAATTCAATAAAATTTCTCAGTGTACAAATTAAATAATATATCACTAATTAAAATTACAATTCTACATCTTTATTTTATGAAACATACATTGTGGTTTTCAAATTTGTTTCAAAATTTTTCTTGGTTCATAGTAGTTCTGATTCTAGGTGGTTATTTTTTGACATGTATATGTGTTTTAGGAATGTTGTCCTCAAATTCAATGCCATCATCATGTCATTCAGCAACCCCAGATCATCCACTCTCCGCATTGTCAACAGTCCCATTCTAGCCATCAAATCCAATGCATAACAGAAAATGACTCAAATATTGGGCATGAACTCTGCCATGGTGGCTCAAGCCAGCTACATGAGCAGGTAAGAACAATCAACTGAATGCTTAGCAAAGGTCTTGAACATTTCTTACACAAGAATTCTAACAATCATAGTAAATTTCCATCCAAACACTGAGAAAATGTGCCAGTGGTATTTGTGTTTTTCTTAACTTTCTTCTTATTTACTATGTGTCTTTCACATCATGCATCTTGATTCTATTCATTTCCCCATCCCTTTGCACCTACCCTTCACCCCTGCAAACTCCCCCTCCCAATAAAACAAAATTTAAGAGAAAAGAAAGAAAAGACAAGAAATCTCATCATGAAAGCTGCAGTGTGACACAGTGAGTCATGCAGTAAAGCACTTTGTCCCTATATCTTTACTTGCAAATGTTCATTGCAGAGTCATTGGTCTGATTCGAGGCCTCTGGTTTCTACTACACTATCAATGTCAAGACCTCACTGGGACTCTTCTAGGATATCCTGTTGTTGTCCTGTGTTGTTGAGATCCTGAAACTTTGAGTCTGCGGATCAGGCCCCTTCACATGCTCCAGCAGATCATAGATGTAGTGGATGTTGGGGTGGGCCAAGACCTTAACCCTGGTTCTGGCCCTAGGAAGCTGCAGGTTTGGCCAACTATGAGTTCTCCTCTGTCCTCACCACCAGGGTGAACTCTCCACCCCTGGTATGTGTGTTTTTACAACATTTTAAGAACTATCCATACTCCTCTCAAAAGACAAAATAACTCAGGTTTATTAAATGTATGAATTTATGACTTGATTCATGAATATTTAATTATAACTAATAGCTGGTCCTTAGAAATGAGCCCAACTGTTGTTCAGTATTACACATTTTCATGAGATAGAATATTCAAATGAACAACAAGTTGCAAATGCTATCATCTGAGATGATTGTTAATGATATCATTTCACAAGCTGGTAATTAGTTGCTGTATATATTCTTTGAGAATACATTATTCTAATAAAAGTCAAAATATATTTTACTGCACATTATAACAAAATAGGAATCAAAACTTAGTTGCTAAGGAGAAGCCTCCCTGGATACAAGCCTGAGTGACTAATTTATGTTGTGAAGTCATTGGAGTCTTGTAAATATCTGCTGCACAAGTGATAATAGGAAAAAAAGATTTTCTTCGATCTGGTAAAAACTAATGATAATGACTGCAGTAACGAAGAGTCAGACATTATTTGTACTTGCTCCAATTTCAAATTGACCTCTCTCATAGACAACTCTAAAGAGAAGATAAAATAATAAGAGAAAATTACTTAAAAAGAAAGTTAGCTTCCAATTCAAGAATTGGAACAAAAGAATTGTTTTATATTACATATACATGAGATTATTCCTGATGCTTTGAAATACACACTTTGGCCAGGTTGTTAAAAAATAACTAGAAATAATTTAAAATTCGTATTTTTCTAATATAAAAATGTCTAAAATTATCTTTCCTTTGTCTGCATGGAAACATTAGCCTCTAAAGTAGTGTGTGAAATGTCTTAAGTTACATGGATTTGTGATGACAAAAATAGCCAAGTTATTAGATTAAATCATTTGAAATTGCTATTTTATATTTCATAATTGATGAAATAGAAATGCCTCTGCATAGTGCAATTTAATCTTTAATTTCGCTTCGCCTTGGTTTCCTCTAATAAAGGAAAGTGGAAGCACCTAAAATTTAATGCAAAGCAAAATGTTTGCATCTTCCTTAAAAGTAACAAACAACACATTTCAGAAGAAAAGAAAGAAGAAATTACTTTCAACTGGGAGATCAAGGGTGTTTTCAGGAGGTGGGAATTGACTTTGAAATATGAGCAGTATTTCCACATTTAGTACCATGGTGTTACATGGAGACAATGGCCAAGGAAGAAAATAATCCTATGGATAATGTTACAGGTTTGGAGAAGTATATTTTGTGTTTCCAAATTAAGTTAATCATGGGCTGAGGAGACAGCTCCATTAGATTATAAAGCATTGACCATGCAAGCATGAGCACCTGAGTTCAGATTCCCAGAACTGTGAACCTCAGCAACAGTGTGCACATCTGTAATCCTGGTGGCAGGTAGGAGAATCCCTTGAAGCAGGTGGACCATGTAGATTGGTATATGTAGTGGCAAGCACGTAAATGATCCTTTCTCGAACACAGAGGAATACATGACCTTATATTTAGGTTGTGCATTGATGTCTAAATGCATGCATGCGGTGGCACATATGGGCCACATTCACACATATGAACACACATATGTATCACACACATGCAGACACACACACAGTAGAGAGAGAGAACAAACAAGAACAAGACTAGTCAGTTGTTTGATCTGAATAGAATGGAAGGTGCACAACAAGGGTGTACTAGGTTTAGGTTAAAGTATTAGCATGGTCCATATAGGCTATGTCATGAAGTCATAAAAGTTGAGACAAAAACAAGTGTAGACTATATAATGGATAGTTAGTAAAAAATATTAAATAGAAAAGTACCAATAAAATTACTACTTTAGGCTGGGAGATGGTGGTGCATACTTTTAATCACAGCACTTGGAAAGCAAAGGAAGGTGAATCTCTGTGAGTTCGAGGCCAGCCTGGTCTACAAGATCTAGTTCCAGGACAGGCTCCAAAACCACAGAGAACCTGTCTCAGAAAAGAAAAAAAACTACTGCATTAGAAGATTAACTATGGCAGCTTTGTGCCAAGTAGACTATCAAATTTTTTTCATTTTCTTCTCATAATGATCATATTAGGAAAGTGGTGTTATTGTCTTTTTGTTAAAACTAAACTTTGAAGAGATTAAGTCACTTTTCTTAAACAAAAAAACAATACAGCAATAAATCCTTCCCAAATAAAAAAAAAAAATAAAACAGCACTCAATACAGAAAATAAACCCACCAAACTGTAACAAAACAAAGACACACAAAAACTGTGGAGTTCACTATATGTTGGAGTTTGACCTATTTTTAAAATTTGTGTTTGAGATTGTAATTTGGATGTAGCATGGGAAAGAAAAAAGACACGAGCTTTCAATTCAGTTGCTTGAGTTGATAAAACATGATGCTACATGACCTCCAGCAGTAAACTTGAACAGGCTTCAATTTCCTCCTTTGGAACAGGGGATCATAATTTCATGTACACTGTATCCTACAAGAAGAAGGTTGAAATAAAATCTGCAAAGCACCCTGCTTACTGTCAACTCTCTAGCAGATTCTCAAATCAATGTTCAATCACTGAACTTTCTACTGCCTGTCTCGGACCTCAGATGTTTAAAGCATCACTGTCAGAAACTGGTTACATTGTAAAATAATTTTTGGCATTTATGGTTAAACTCAATCTGTTATATTATATATTATAATATATATGAACTCATAGAGAAAGTGACAGCATTCACAGGGACTGTATAGGTTTACTCCAGGTAGAGAATATCAATGCTGAGAGAAGACATGGACACAAGCTCCCATCCCTTACCCAGAAGCTGTGTCTGATTAATAACCATTCACAGATGAAAAAAAATCAGTGTTCAGTCCTGCTGGTGATCCTGCATGGGACTGAACTAGACCCTCTGAATGTGGGTGACAATTACGTGGCTTCATCTGTTGTGGTGGTCTGGCAGTGAGCCAGGACATACCCTGGGTGCATAAACTGGCTTTTTGGAACCCATTTCCTATGGTGGGATACCTTGTTCAGCCTTGATAAAGGGGGAAGGGTTTGGTTCTGCTTCAACTTGGTATACCAGACCTTGTTGACCCCCCACCAAGGGAGGCCTTAGCTCCTTTGAGGAGTGGATGGGGGAGATGGGGGAAAGTGGGAGACAGGAGAAGGGTAGGGAGGGGGAACTGGGGCTGGTATGCAGAATTAAAAAAATGAAAGTAAAGGAAAAAATCAGTTTTCTAGATGGAAGTCTCAATGGGAATACAAGCCATTCATAAGTCCAGTCCCCATGCCAAACAGTAGATGGCTAACACAAAAGAAACTCATTAGCATCTTTGGAGGTTCTTTGTTGAATAAGGCATTTTGACAGGGCATTTTCTTTTATTTCTTCTTCTATTTTTCACCTTATTTGTCCTTTGTGTATATTATGGCTTCTGGTTTTATGTTTTTAGGAGAGTCCTATGTGTACAAATAAGTGTTTCTCTTCATCAATGTGTATATCTCGTGCTTTTTCTTTAGCTTTTTTCTTCTGTTTGTTTTTGGTCCTATTCCAGTTTGTTAGGTTTTGTTTTACCCTACTTATTTTATGTCATTATTATTCTTTAGATGCCCGCTTGTTTTCTTTTTTTTTTTTCAGAAAGGGTGTGGATTCCGATGGGGGGAAACATGAAGGAATCTTAGAGGATGGAGGAGGGACAACCATGATCAGAATACTTTGTATGAAAAACACCTATTTTTAATAAGAGGAAAAATTATTTCACTCCTTTTGTATTCACTAGATCACTTAAAATTGAGTGAAATGATATTTAAAAATACTATGTCAATATTGATTTTCCTTGCAATTGCTCCCCTACTAAGAAGAATATACACTACTGATACATAGAAAATTCAGTGACTTGATTCATGGGATGATTTTAATTGACTTTTATTCTTTGAATTTTCATATCAATATATCTGTGAACTTAGAAAAACAATATTGCTTATAATTGTAATTGATATTGCTTCAGGTGATAATTCAGGATGATGGCCCTGAAAAATTGGATCCCAAATATTTTGGAGAGTTGCTTGCTGACCTAAGCCGCAAGAATACAGACCTATATCACTGCTTATTAGAACATTTGGAGAGGATTGGAGGAAGGTACTGTAAATGCATTATTTGTCTTGATGTTGCAGTTGTCACATATTTTAGTACATTCTTGTAATTTTAAAAATAGATGTTTAAAGTTTTTTATGTGCATGCATTGTGCCTCAATGAGTTAATGTGCACCACATATGTTCAGGTGCCCACACAGTCCAGAGGGAGCTGGAGATCCTGGTATTTGAGTTACATACAGCTGTGAGATCTCCAGCATTGCTCTATAAATGAAACTTGCGTCTTGTCAAAGAGCAGTATGTGGTTGCAACCACTGAGTATGTTTCTAGCCCTTAAAATAGACTTTCTGAAAGAGCAGGTTCAGGTTTACAGCAGAACGCTAGTGCTCTTAATGAGTAAATAGAATAATTATATGAAAAAACCGAACAAATTTTTCATTTTAAAATAGTCAAGGGGTTTAGAGAGATGGCTCAGAGGTTAAGACCTCTTCCAGAGGTTCTGAGTTCAAATCCTAGCAACCACATGGTGGCTCACAACCATCTATAATGAGACCTGTTGCCCTTTTCTGATGTGCAGGTGTATATGCAGGCAGATCACAGTATATAACATTTTTTTTTAAAAAAAAAAAGGTAGTCAAGCTGATTGTGGTGGCTTCATACCTGTGATGGCAGCTTTCAGGAGGCTGAGACTGGAGGACAGCGTTCATTTTGATGCCATCCTGGACTACATAGCTTATCTTTCCAGCTGGTGCTATTTAGCAAGTATGTGTCTCAAAAAAAGTCAAAACCAAACAAATAAAGGAGAGTTGATGTGTTTTATGAAATTCAGCAAAGATATCATTAATTTTAGATCAGTTAAGTATTGTGTATGTTTTCTTTCGTAATGCCCTTTGATGGCAAAACTACTACTTGGGAAAGAAAATAAGTAAAATGACTGACATATTAAAAAGACAAAAGATAACAAATGCTGGTGCAGATGTGGAGAAGAAGGAAATGAATATTGTGGTAATGTACACTAGTCAGTATGGGAAAGAATATGAAAGATTTTCAAAATGAAAACTAGAGCTACCATGTGATCCAGAAATCTGACTATTGGGTATACAATCAAATACAATGAAATGAGTATGTAAAAGACACACCTTCGCTTCCCTGTTCATGATACCAGGGAATGGAAACAACCTGATAATCTACCAGCATAAAAAAATAAATTCCTGTCATTTTTAACAATATAAATCGAATTGGAGAGAACTCTATTCAGTAAAATAACACAGCCGCATAAAGCAAGTGTCACATGACTTAGTTTGTGATCTTAAAAAATAATTTCATAGTGAGTGTGGAATGGCTATTGTCACAAGCTCAGTGCAGTAGAAGGTTCAAAGTGGAAATGTTACTCAATGTACACTAAATTACTGCTGAATAAGGACAAATTCTAGTGTGCTATTGCAGAGTGTTGACTATAGAAAATGATAAAGAACTTTAAGTTTCAAATCTAGAAGATTTTGAGTATTATCCTTATAAAGAAAATATGTTTGATAGAATAGAAATGTTTTATCTTTAAATATTATATTTTATACATTATAACCCACATACTGTATTGATTTACATAGTATATTGTCTGTAACATAAATTATGGAGGATTATATGTTTTTAAATAGAAAACTCTATATAATGTAATAGATAACATGCAGCTATATATTTTTAAATATATTTACCTTTTTATATGTACATGTGTGAGTCTGCATGGGTTTATATGCACCGTATTATTACAGATGCCTGCACAGAATAGTAGAATTTGAATTCTCTGGAATTGGAGGGAATCATTCATTTGTAGATGACAGCACATGGCCATTAAATGAATACCTAATGCTATCAAGTCAAAACATGAATTCAGAGTCATCTGGAAGATAAAGAAATGCCAATAGACTTTTTTAATTCAAAGTTTTCATTGGCTACATTCTTTAGCTTCTAAATCTTTATAATACAGAATTTATATGTCATATAAATATAGAGGGTATGACACAATTTTGCATACCTTTTAAGTTAAAGAAGGTAATATATTTTCCAAATCAATATTTATGTTTAGTGTCTTTAATATATTCTTTTAATCTTTTACCCATTTCTTTTCTATCAATTTTATCACCTTCCTACAATCATTTTCCATAACTATTTTTGTTCCTAGGTAAGTATAATGCTCTCACTAGGGCTCTCTCTCACTTATCTATTTCTACTGCCATTCCTACTACTCACCTTCTACTGTCCACTCTCCATAGTATTTAGAATGCTACATAAGGGCTATTTTATGTAGTTTGGGATTCATGAAGCTTAATGCAGGACTCAGTACCTGTTGACTAATCATTTACTTTCATTACTGTTTATTCATTTCAAATACATCAAAGTACAGCTAATTATTAAATTTATTCCCTTATAAATACATGAATTTTCTCTTTTGAGAGGTTTTGATCATTATACCTAATAACATCCTATCACATTACATGAACTACTCTCTTTCCTATGACCCAAAGAACTATCTCATGCATTCAATTCTTTTTGCACAAGTTTTCTATGTTAATAATTTTATTCCCCTCAATGACCTATTCATTGAGTGACCAAAATGTGCCAGATATTGTACTGCTCATCTGTATTATAAAATTTCAAAACTAACCTCATAAAATTTCAGATGAAGGTCTAGGAGACATGTTATTAATTAAGATCACATAGCTACTGAGGGCTTGAGATATATTCAAATGTTTTTGAGTATTTTATTCTCTCATCTATAAAATATGACTCAGTTTTTCTGCAACACACTTCCTAGATCTTGATTAGGTCCAAATGAATCTCTTTTGGTCTTTATATTTTCTGCATTTTTCATTTTTCTCTATTCTCTTTCAATATTTCTAAACCAGTACCATATACATGCATGCAAACTTTGGTACATATATTAGGCATGCCTTAAGAATGGGAATGTACATTTTTCTTTTGCTGCAGTACCTTGTCTATTTTTATTAATGTATGAAAGAGGTTTTTAACACTGACCCACTTATCTCTATAAGCAACAATTTGCTTATAAGCAATTACACAAGAGATAAAGGTAGGGACTAATGTGCTAAAACTCTCTTACCTTAAAAATTATTTCTGTCTTGCTGCCAGAATATATACAACTGCTTTTCTGTTTATTTGACATGTTCACATACATGTTCATGCCTCATTATTCTACTATGTGCAGAAAAAGCAATTAGACAGAAATAAAGTTTGGTCTGTTGCCCTTGACAACACTGTAACTGTATTCTTCCAAATCTTCACAATTCCTACAGGAGGACATAGCAGACTGGTATAACCACTGACAATACCATAAGATTTGCCTTCATAATTTGGCTCCACAAATACTCTCTGAACCTCTGTCCAAATATTGATTTTTTTTTTACTCAAAATTTTATTATCCAGCTAGAATTTTGATCAGTTTGCTTTGTTTGGTGTAGATTCATATACTGTTGTTACCTCATGGTTTCCTAGTATACATAGATTAAATGAATTGACCATATCTTTAAAGTTTATGTTTTGGTAAAATGGAATGAATAGTATCAAAATATCAATAGAGAGAAACTAAACTCAAAATTGAAAGTGAAAACCAGAGTGAGAAAAAGGAGGTAGAACTCGACAAAACCTGTAATTGTTTCATTCACCCAAGTACCATTTGCTGTCAAGCACTTCTACATCTGCTCTCAGATAGACTGGTAAAAATGGACAATGTCCTAACTAATTCTGCATATTTTGTTATTTATATGATACTCATTTTTAGTAGGTCAGATAGTTTCAGGAAAATTATTTTAGTCAAACTAAGTGAAAGTTCCATTTTTGATATTTAAATTATTTTATTTGTGATTCTAACTTAAGCCGGTACTATTATGATATACAAAATATAAAACAGATAGAGCAAACATTTTTATTTATAATTACTGAATCTATTGTTTCTAAAGTTGTGTTTTTGTTATTCTTACAGCAAACAAGACTTTGAGTCTGCAGATGCAGTCAGTCCAAAAATCATTAAAATTAAATAGATAACAAAGTACATTGTGATTGTGATACCAATAATATCCTTTTATTTAGTGTGTTTATTAGACTGGAAACAAAGGTTAGAAAAATAATGTTTATATCTTTGTAATGACTGCAAATATAATAATTACAAAGAATAGTTTTATGACTGTCACTAGAATTTAAGTTGTCATTGTTGAATGTACAATT